TTTGTGATTTTAATTGGCTAAACTATTATGCATGATCGGGATCATCATTTCCTTATTTGGAACGTTCCTACCTCGAGAATACAATGTCTTTTTTATTTGCTTCGATAAACTTTTGACCGGCCAGGATCACTAACTTCGCCTTCATACTATAAGTCTTATGCGTCAAGAAGCCTTAAGAGAAGAGGCCATAAAAAGTATGGCTAAACGGCCTGGCTATGGCAAATTCGGACGACAGACTCAACTTATTACTAATTACTTTGAAGTTAAAAAGGTATTTCATAATTTCTCTCCGTATGTCCGGATCACTTATTCTTCTTTGTTATCTTACGAATTCACTTATTGGTTTAGATCACAAACGTAGCGCATTTTGAAAAATATGAGATTACAATAAAATTGCAGCCAAGGTCCGACGGTGAAGGTTCTCATCGCCGAAAAGTTATCAGGCAGCCGAAACAACTTCCAACAAACGTCCAACGTGCTATATTTCAACAATTAGAAAAGCAAGAGCGTAACGGCTGGTTCAAAGGTGTTGGTGTCGTTTTTGATGGTACTTTGATTTTTTTTTTTTTTAATAAAATTAGGCCTGTAATATTGAAATTCTTCGTAAGTCATTGCTCACAATTTATTTGAACGCGATTCGTCTCATTTTTTTTTCATCTATGCATAGGGAATACGACAATATATTCTACTGGTCTCTTAAATTTAAATTCTGATCCTGGGACAACATCGGTGAGATGTACGATAAATTACGCGATTTTCACTTTATATTGGATGTCGATTACTAATATAAGTAGCTGTTCGGATTTTATTTTATTATTGTCACGTCTATAGGTCACTTTAAAAGATGATCAAGATTTCAGGGGCAATCCTACTGAATTTAAAGTTGAAGTTAAAAGGATCGATAAAATTGACATAGGTGAATTAAAAAAATTTCTTGAAGGAAAAGAAATGAAATGGGAATATTTTGATTTAGGTATGATTATAAAATAATAATTTCATGTTTCTATCTTCTACTAATTTGTTAGTTAATTAATTATCTCATTTGGCGGTTTTATAAAAATTACAGCTGGTCTTAGAGGACTTAATGCTTTAATACATCATATGCCATCAATGAAATATACTCAATTTGGTGAATCCACGTATTTACCTTCGACGCGTAAATCTTTGGGTGGTGGCGTAGAATTATGGATGGGTTGGTTTGAAAGCGTAAGGCCCGGACAAGGTATATTCATTTTAGTCGTTAATAACGTTAATAAGATTTTTTTTATATATTATTGAACTTATTGTCTATATTTTAACTGAAACAGATAGCTATTTTGTTAATGTTAATACTACATATACCGTTTTTTACGAGCCGGGGCCATTGCATTCTCTAATTATGAAATATCTTAAATTAGACAATATTCCGGAACGATTCAATCAACAACAACAAGATAAAGTTTCCGAACTTGTCCGAGGATTGCAATTCAAAGCTATTCATCGCCCTAAAGTCAGTACACGATTCAAGATTAAAAGACTATGTTCCACTAATGCGCGTGAAAACATGGTTGATATTCCAGATTCTGGAGAAAAAATTAGTATTTATTCTTATTACCAACGAAGGTATAAGTTAAATTTAAAATATTTGCATCTCGTCGAACTTGAAGGTCGAAAGAATGACAAGATTCCAATTGAATTATGTGACATTATTGAGGTATTATTTTAAACCAAATTTATAGTCATTTTGATCCAATATTTACTTATTGAAAAAAATTTAGGGTCAACGATTTCCTGTTGCAAAGTTATCTAGTGCTCAAAGAGGACATATGATTAAGCATACAGCATTGCGTCCTCAAGAAAACATGGATAGAATTACTGAAGGTGTTCAGAATGTCCTACAATTCGAAAAAGATTTGAAATTGAAAAGATTTGGAATGGCAGTCGATGACAAAATGGCAGTAATTCCAGGCATCTATAGTTTAGAGAATAATAACGCACATTGTGTTCTCAATTATATTTATATGTTAGTTCTAATTTATTATATGTCCTTTTTGTATGTTAATAAATGAATATCAAAGCTCGCGTATTGAAAGCTCCCAAAGTATCATATCATATAACATCCAAAGCGGGTGGTACCGTTAAACCTCGTGAAGGTGGATGGAACCTTCGAGACCGAAAGTTTGTCAGAAGTGGTAAAACACTTCAATACTGGGTGGTAGTTGCATTTGTTCAACAACAAAAGTTATCAATTCCGCAAGCCAAACAATTCGTAAAAGAACTTGTAAACACAAGTAGAAGTCAAGGAATGGTAGTGAATTGTTTGTTTAATATAGTTAGGGTTTTTAATGGGCTGGGTTGGGTAGGTTGGGTTGAGCTATTTCTCAACCCACTCCAATTTGGTTTGGACTCACTCTGGAGCCACTCCAGATCTGTTTTGCTCCAGTTTACTCAAATTTCTATCCAGCATATTTTTAACCCACTCCAACTTGGGTTGGGTTCACTCCGGAGTATGCCACTCCATTAACAACCCTAAATATAGTATTCATTTTCATAATTTTAACCTAATAAATTGTTATTTTATAGGATATCGCTGAAGGTAATCCAAGAGTAAATTATGTCAGGCCCAATGGTGAACCACATACCTATCAACATCTTGTTGTACAAGAATATAATAATGCTAGAAATCATCTAAAGAATGATCTTCAATTAATGTTGTTTATTCTTCCGGACGATGATGAGAAACGATATCGAGCAATAAAATACACTGCAGATACAGTTCTTGGTGTCCCTTCACAATGTGTCCAAGTTGATAAAGTAGGGAGGACAAACAAACAATATTGCGCAAACATTGCACTAAAAATGAATTTAAAACTGGGAGGAATAAATCAATCACTTGAAGATGCCGAAATACCTCTCTTCGCAAAAGAACCAGTATTGTTGCTGGGTGCTGATGTTACACATCCAACTGGTGGACGCGCTGGTCCTTCAAGTATGATCTATCAATCTTAAATTTTTTTTTTAATTTCCCATATTACTTTTGATATTTATGCAAATTTATATTAACATTATCTATAAAGACATGCCTTCAATATGTGCAGTTGTTGGTTCACTCGATCGCCAGGGTGGTCGTTTTACTCCAAAACTTGAAAGTCAAAAAACTAGACAAGAAAAAATTGAAAATATGAGTGGTATGGTATTTGAAATCTTGAGAGATTATCGTGATAAAAATAGTATTTTGCCTCGACGAATTATCATGTACCGTGATGGTGTTTCTGAAAGTCAATTTGAAATGGTACTGACTCATGAACTTGAACAAATTAAAGGCAAGTTATTTATGCAACTGTACTAATAATATTTTTAATAGCCATATGTCGTATGTAATATATTTACATGTATGAATGTTTAGAGGCTTGCATGAAAGCGGGGCAAAACTATAGACCTCCAATAACCTTTGTAGTTGTTGGTAAAAGACACCATACAAGATTTTATCCGCAAAACGAACGCGATGCTGACAGGTAAAATTGATCTTCAATAAATAGAACGAGGAATTCATATGCTTAATAATATTCACGCGTTTATATACTATATAGCAAAGGAAACTGTGTTGCTGGCACAGTCGTTGACCGGAAAATAACGCATCCATATTTGTTTGACTTCTGTAAGCTTGATCCGCTTTTTGTGATCAGTCTATTTCTCAACCTCTGCTCATATCTATTTTGGTATAAAATAAATTTTTGAATGTTGCTAGTCCTACAGTCACATTCGAGTTTACATGGAACATCACGTCCAGCACATTGTATGTATGCTTACTAACTTGGTCAACTTTCAGTAAAGCATTTAGAAAAAAATATCACTTATTTTTAACTCGATAGATCACGTTCTTTTTGATGAAAATAATTTTACCGCCGATAGTTTGCAAGACTTGACAAATAAACTCTGTTATAATTATCAACGGTGTGAATTCATTGATTGCTTATATGTTTAAAAACAAAAAAAAAAAAGTTAAAAGGTTAATATAAATTATGTATTTAATCTATAGTGCAACTCGGTCAGTATCGATTTCACCTGCTGCTTGTAAGTATTAAATTTATTATTATTTTATATTTCATCGATGGTTACTTTAATAATTTAAGTTTCAAATCATTTAGACTACGCGCATTTAGCAGCAAAGCGCGCACGGTAATTGTCTATTACTATTTTGTGCTCTTTACAAACTTTTTAAACTTAATCATAACTATATTCGTGTACTGGTTTTAGATTACATTTGGAACAACAGCAACGTGGTGAAGCAGAATTCGTTTTGAAAGAAGTTAAAGAAAGCCTAGCCAAAGGTATGCATTTCTAGTACCATAAGATCATTTGATAATTCTGATTTTTGCATTGACCGAATTATGGAGGATGCTAAGAGTTATAAATGAAATTTATTTATTTTATTTATTTTTTCCTAGACAACACGATGTATTTCATTTAAGGAAATGATATACCATTTTTAATTATTAGTAGAACTATTTTATTATAATTTTATTTAATACGTTTTAATTTAAAATCAGTTATATTTTATATTATGTTCTACGTGTTATAATTTCCACTATCTATAAACTTTATCAGAAGATAATAAATCGTCATTCTCTACGAATACATCATATATTTTTTTGACTTGTAAATGTGTGCAACTTCCGTTTTGTGACAAGGCTAAAAATTGTTATCATGACAATACTAATATTTTATTATTGATTAAAAGATATATATAATAACACGTTAAGCCAAACACCAAAGTCTGTTAAAAAAAAAAAATTTAGAGTTTATAAGAATTACTAAGATTCAATAAGTTTGAGTTATATATACTGTTATATTCCGAAGTTTTTTTTTTTTAATATTCCATAACATTCTAAAAATGAGATTTTATCACAACATACCTTTAATTTAAAAAAATGTACATATAAAATTATTATAAATACTAATAATATAATACTAATGCTAAGTATTAAAACAAAGAATATCTTTTACAGATTCTTTATACAGTAAAACCTCGTAAGTATACCCCTCTATAAGTGCACATCCTCTCTTCAAATTCAAACCCAAATATATATAACCTCCATAAATGCATTTTTTGCTTATTGTTTTCTAAGTGCACGTTGTAAAAGTTCGGTCCCAAGAGCATGCATTTATAGAGGTTTTACTGTACTAACATTTAAGTCTTAAGAATGATAATTCTTCACATATTTAATCACTAATAATATATTTCTACAAATCACCATAATAACGATAAATAATTATTTCAAACCATTATTTTATCAATGTCAGGATTTTCTCATGAATCATCTTAAAGGTTTTAAAACGCCTAGTTTTAAGTAGATGGAGTTGCAATAAGGCCGATCTGAGGTCCGAATCTGAATCTTTGGTATAGGAACATAATAAATTACTCCTACAATGAACTGTTAAATTTTTTACTATAAGAACTGTCAGTTCATTATAGAAAGTTACCTGTATACAATTTTTTTCTTTTTTTCGTTTGCTATTTATACAGTATTTCAACAAAAAATCAAGGTAATCTTCTATATAGAAATACAAGAAAACACGCTACAATGAAGTACTCAGGTTAGGTCCACACTATAACTTATATCAAGAAAATACTAAACATATTTTACTAGATACGATTGAAATTTAATAATTCCGCTTTTCATTATATCAAAAGTTTACTGTAAAGAGGTAAGCTGTATTTTGACAGACTGGTTTATTTCGTTATCTAACTTGTAAGTATATTTTAGAACTCTATAATATTTTATAACCTTGTTCGAATTATTTATCTATGCTAATTTGGTTCATGAATACAGATTTGTTTATAAATCCAATTACAGTCGAAGCTTATGATAACGAACTTCTTTATAATGAACCCTGGACATAATGAACATGAAATTTTAAATTTTATATTAGTTGAGTTTGGAAAGTGTAGATTTTTTTTTTTGTATATCCGACGATTTTATAATATTTGTACGTACCATATAATTCAAATTTTACAATTCATTTTAGGGGAATTTACAAATAAGGGCCTAAAAACGAAAATAATTACAAATAAGGGCCCAAAATGAAAATAATTACAGATAGAGGCCCGATATTTGAAAATTATTA